GGAAAGAGGTAGGAAATAAAACATCTTAACAGAAGAATCCCTTTGGAAACATGCAGGAATAAGCCAAAGATAGCAGCAAACCTGTTCCTGCCTGCTTCCAACCTGACAGATGGCTGGTACGGCTACTGCGCTGGGGGTGGGGGAGAGATTAACAGCTTTTCTTTAATTTCTGCTGACTGTTTTCCATTTTGTGTCCCCCCCGTCCCCTAGTATCACAAACATCCTTCAGCCTGCCCCAGACTTAACTCCTGTGACCCACAGGTTGCATGCAATCATAGGGACAGGGCACACAATCACTCACTCAGAACCTGATATTAAATTCTCTTTGCCGAATCCTTGAACTTAGATGACTCCAGAGATCCATTCCAGCTCAATTTTCTGTAATTTGGAGTCTCTCTCCAGCACGGCCCAGGACAATGAATCTGTCCTTAATTAACACAGGTCTAGCCATTTACAAATAACACCTCCAGCAAATCGTCCCATCTTCATAAAGTAATCCCTCAAGCTGAGCATCCCTAATGGTGTCTGGACTGTCGTTTACTCCCTGCAGAGCTGTCTGGATTCAGAGATTTCTCGTGTCTTGGCTGTGGTGCTGTGAGCACTGAGCTAGGTTCAGAGCCCTGACAGCAGGACCATACCTGTTTGGGCTGTAACAAAGGTTGCTCCTGGCTCCTGTGTTCCAAGGAGTGTGACTTCATTTTTGCTTGCTGCGATAGAGAAACAGAACAAAAGATAAGCAGAGGGATTAACAGCAAAATTAAGAATGGCTGATTGCTGGCTTTGGAGAGGCCATGGGAAATACAGTCCCCTCCTCTCCTACAGCCTGCTCTGGGCACTAGAGAATTCAGAGTGGGAAGGCACAGCAAACTGAAACCACTCTGAGTAATTTGCTTTCTGTACACCAAGACATCACCCCTAGAGTTATGCAAAGACCTGTCACATTTACTCTTGCCTTCAATGCTGCTATAAGTCCTCTGCTAGCACAAAGGACATCTTAAGAACCAAGACCAAACATGAATTATTTTGCCTTGCTATAAATAACTCATCAGCCTTTCCAGGATATAAAAAACCAGCCAGAATTGGTGGGAGGCATAGTGTATTTTTACATTCTGTAAACATTTTTCAGCTTTGGGAAAATAAAGTTTATAGCTTATGTTTTCCCTCAACCTTTTGCAATTCTAGCTAGGAACTGGAAAATAAAACAGTGATAATTAACCTATTTAAAAAACTATATAATGAATCAATTTAAAGAATCCTTCCCCCACCTATTAGCATGGAGAGCTCAAAGCTATAAAACGTTAAGTGAGGTTTGTTTGGAATTGCAGAACTGCATGAACAAAACCATATATTTAGAATTCCACTCCCCAGTCTAAAAATTCAGCTTAAGGACCTTCCAGCACCATATCCTTAACAGCCATCAGCCCTCTCGCCTCAACACCAGTCAGCTGTGTGCTACAACAGCCAGAGCTGGGAAGGAAGTGGCCTCGTGAGCTTGTCAGCGTGGAAGGAGTCTGTCCTGCAGCCCTCGCTCTGCCCCTCCCGTGCTGCTCCACGTGTAAGGCAGGAGGATACCAATCGTGCCCTCTGGGCACGCAGAGAGGGAGCAAAAGAAGTGCTGAGAGCCAGGGCTGCTTGTTTGCTGGCTGTCCAACCTCCCCAAGACTGAACTGGAGCTATATTCCAGGCACAGAGCCCGCTCAGTGGTGTCCATGGCAAAGGCAGCCACCACCCCAGGGGGAGCGGGGACGTGACGTCTGCCAGCAGCCCCTGGGCTGCCGCCCCGGCCTGGAACCATGGGCCTTGACTTTGGGGCTTAAACAGCCTCATGAGAAAGATCAGTGATTGCTGGAGAGGGATGACATAACCAGACAGGCGAAAGAGCAGTGGAAGAACTCATCCCTTGGTTTTACTTCATTAAATCATTTTCTTGGCTCAGCTGCATGCCTGTGGGCGGCCGGGGAGGTCAAGCCAGCAAACAGGCAGTGGGACAGGGATGCAGATCCCTCTGGGGTGGGTGCCATCCTCTCATGTCTCCCTGAGCACCACACGGTGTGTTTACACACAGCAAACCCGCCACCAAACCGACGGGGCTCGTCTCCCTTTGTGTGCCATAGATGGGTTACGTTGGTGCATCTGTGTGTGGCTGATAACAGGCCTGCTAGATTACCCAACACATCCCTCCCCTGTTTGACACTCATCTGAACACAAGATGTGCTATCAACAGACGTCAGCAACTAAAGCGAAGGCACATATGCAGCCATGCCCTGCCCCCCCAGAGGCTGCCTGCCAATGGAGCTAGCTGGCTCTGGTGCAGTTAAGTCTTACTGGAAGGGGTTTTTTTTCCTTTAAAGAGAAAAAGTGAACACATTTCTAAGCTGGCCCAAACTGCCGCTGCCTTGAATTCATGTAACACCAGTGAAAAATGGAGCAAACTGACTGTCACCACTAAGCCAGCCTCCTTTAGCTCTGAATAACATTAAAAAGGGCATAAACAAAGACAGAAATTCAGAAAAGCAGGCTGAAATTTTCCAGCTCGCTCTGTTGCAGTCAGGGCAGAAAAAAGGGGACATAAATTATGAGTGAAACTGCCTGTTTTCCAACCAGCATGGAACAAACCTACTGTACTGTGTGTCAGGACTTGGGAACGCCTCCTGGTCATGGCACTCAAGTCCTTCCAGTGCAGCCAGCATTTTCCAGCTTGCTAAATCTTTTGGGACTGAGGAAAAGTATTTTTAGCTTTAACTGCTGGCTCAGCCTTACCACAAACTATGTGGAACCTATTAAAACAGAAGGTGCATTTTTCATCCTAGTAAGAGAGAAACTATTTGTCCTAATTCTACAGAGGAAAAATGACAAGCCTATTGCAGCTGAGCCAGACTGCCTCTTAAGTTTTCAAATATGAGTGAAGAAATTTAAATGCCTAATTATTGGTCTAACTTACAGGATACACGAGAATCTCCAGTGCCCACTGCAGCCAAAGGGAATTAGAGCATTTTTAAAAAGTAATTATACATTATAAGAAATTTAAACCAGGACACTTATGAGACACCTAATTTTGTCTGTAGAAGCCTAGCATAAGCAAACTGTGATTACTTCTGTCTATATCTTAATAGCTATTTATTCCAGTCATTTAACACAGGTTTTTGCTTAATTAAAGCCACCTAAGTAAGAAGCTACCTGAATACAGTATCTTTGTAGCACAGCCCGGACCTCAGACATAAAGGCTCAACATCTGGCCCTCTTTTTTAAAGTCCTATTCATGTTCCATCCCCTTTCTCCTTGGCCTAGGCTTGCTGCCCATTTTCTCCAAAGCAGGGCCTCCCTGGCACCCTGCCTCCACTGGCAGGAAACAGGGGTTCTCTCAGTCCTTCGCCTTTGGGTTCACTCCTCCTTTGCAGCAGAAGCAAAAGAAAATGAGCACATGTTTTTTCTTTTGTTTCTGAACAACTGCTGCAAGCTGCTGTGCCCGCAAGAAGCGCCAGGATCACAGCATGCTCTGCTCTTCACCCCCAAAGACGCGCTGCATCAATTTGCAATTTCCTAAGCCACATCCACATTAAGCAAGACAATGGAAGCATTTATAAGAAAGTGCACATGCATATAACTTAACCTCTATTTGTCAATAAATCATTTTAATCGGTCTAAACAGTGTTCAAGACGTCCTACTGCAGAGTTTGGTCATATTTTCCCAAAGCTGTAAAAATAAATAAAACAAAACCCATGGAGTTTGCATCTAAATCCAACTACTTTATGCAAGGTCTTGTCTGCATGGGATGTTTCCACTGTTTTCTCACAGCAGTGCAATACTAAAGCAGCAGTACAAACTTATTAAGGCTAGCTTCTTTAACATTACAAACAAAAATTTAAATCCAACCACACTGAATGCAGCATTTCTTGTCATCTCTCCGTTTTCAAGCAACACAGACCAGGTAATTTTATGACTTTTATATATATATTTTTTTTTTAAAGAAGAACAACTTGTAGGAAATATTTTTTGCAGGCACCTCTTCCTATTTCTTCCCCTAAATCGAGTTGTTCTATTACGTTGACAAACCCAGTGAGGGATAAAAACTGAGAGCCAAGCTCTGGGTTGGGCTCAGTTGGCTTGGAAAGGATGGCACAGAGAAACTATTAACTGTAAACATCAAGAAAGAAAATTCACAAGAAGCTGACTGTGGAAAAGCTCATGTGTGGCAGAAGAGATGGAAGAGACTGTTCTAGGCTTAGGGGCGAGTCTGAGTAAGGCATAATACCAAGAAGAAGACTGAGGAAGCAGCAAGGCAAGACCAGGATATCCAAAAGGGGTAAGAGGGAGTTGTCATTAGAGATGTGGGTTGGGTAAAATTGCAGAGGGTTCTTCAAATGAGAATGAGAAATTCAAATTTCATACAGAAGCCACAGGAGAAAATCAAGGATCAGAATGATACAGCCAGAGAAGCACGTGACAACTAACATGCCAATTTTTAATACGCTGGAGAAATGAATGGTGAAAACAGAAGACAAACCAAGTCACGGAGATCAAGGTAAGAGTTCGGAGTGAGAACAGAGAAGGAAGGATGAGTTTCCATGAGACAACACAGCAAAAGAAACAGCAACTCTTGGCAAGGACCTAAATAAGGAAAAAGAAAGAGCAAGAAGTGATATGTGGGAAACTACCCGGGGTCAACACAGGACAGAAGTTGAGGGATTAGGAAAACAAGCAGCAGCTCGACTTCTACAAACAGAGCGTGTGATGGCAGCTGGGCAGACAAGAACAGATGTAAGATGGAGGAGACTGGAAGGGAGGCTGAAAGCAACAGCAGAGACTCAAGAACTGCTGATGAGAACAGTGCTTTCTCATTTTTGTTCCTTGCAAAATAATAATACATTCAAGCTAGACTGGGCGATTTCTCATTCTTCCTCATCCCCCCAACTCTTCCAGCCAATATTCCCTACTAACCTGGCATTTGAAACTCTTCAAATACTCGGCCCCCACCTGATCTTCACGCTCAAACCCCGGTGCTTTCTTGTAGCTGCCAGCTGCTGTTACTGAGTCTGGAGGAAAACCAATGGTCTCCAAGCTGTGTGGCTTTCCAATGGCTCCAGGAGGAGACCCACATATATTAGATGGGCTTCCGAGACTGCTGTTCCTACAAAGAATCTAATAGAAGGAACAAGTGTCAGGCAAGCACAGCCAGCCAGTAGCAACAACTCAAAGAGAAGAGGCATCCCATGGAAGAGCTCATTCACTTCACTCCACTGTTTGTGTGCTGATTACACTGACAGTCAATACAGACATACAAGCTTCCAGTAAACAGTAATTAAGAACCAGAAAAAAAGCTCCAGTAGATACTGGATTTATACAGTCCCTCAATTATGGTTACACTGTCATTACTTCATACTGGACTGCAGTCTTATAAAAACCAACCTACAGCTCTAGTGACATTTATTCTTTCTGAGGCCTCAGATGTGATTGATCCAAGTTTCCATATCTGACCCAAACTCTCCTTGCTTTCCTTAATCTACAGTGGATCCTGTCTGCACTTTGAGCAGTAGTGTGAAACCTGGAAAGGTGCTATGCCACTCAGAACAACCAGGCATATCTGAGCTATGTGTAATACTGTATGTTTTGCTTTCCAGTTGGAAATCTGAAAGTTTTAATGCAGGCACAAGCTAAGTATCAACAGCTGCATTAAAAAACCCAAGGATTTCCAACAGTTCCATCCTTTAGATTAATACCAGGGATCACAATCACATGCAACAAGGCTAGTTTTGCACTGTAGATGAAGCCACAGACAGCAGCAAAGGAGATTAAGATGAGTTTTAGAGAAAGGGCTGACCTACATCAATGCAGACATCCCATTTCTCTGGGACAAGAAGTTATTTGGCTGCACTGGCAAGCATGACTGTGCTTCAGACATCAGTTAGACAACTTCTGCTACCACAGACTCAAACGTGGCACAGTCTGGGCTGGCATCAGAAAGAAGGAGCATCCTACAATGTTTTGATTTTATTTTTATACAGACATTCTGCTGTCCACGCTTCCCTACAGTCGCAAAGATACTACTCACTGTGGTGGAGGTGGGGCTAGTTGGCAGAGTTCCTGATTTATTCCACACCTACAGTACAAATACAAAACAGAACAGGCCATGTGAGGCTGGCTGCTAGAGGGACCTTTTTCTCTGATTAATTCATCATGTAAATGATCACCAGCAAAGCCATATTTGTTTGCAAGCTACATGCAGATGCCCTGTGGAGTGATGAAGTCACAGAAAGACATGTGTTCCTGTTTGGCATATATCCAAGGATTAGGAAAGACTGTTTAAAAGACTAAGAGCTTGAGAAAGAAAAGACCTAAATGGTCTATTGAAGCAGAAGGTATCCTCAATTTTACTGCAGTTTTCAGAAAATTTAGATGATATGTTCATAAGATGATGGGGTTTTGGTTTTTACTGCTTTCCACAGTGTTATTTATTGAGAGAAAAATAATATGTCCAGATTTTTCATTATCTGTTTGGAATTCTAGCTGCAATCAAATTCAGCAGAACTACAAACTGTTAGGTTGGCTTTGCTGCTAATAAAAATCCAACTATCAGTTTCTCTGAAAGAGGAAAATAAGATAAAACAGAGGTCTTAAATGAGTTCACCTTATTCTGACCAGTTTCAAATGAGTTAAACTTGTGTCATTTTACCTTCTCAGAACCTTGACCACCCGTTCAAAAAGGTTACACACCTTATCAACAGCGGTGCAAACAGGAAAGACTCAAGGAACAAAAAAAGAAATCTCTGCAAAAATGAAGTGGTCTAGCATTCCACAAGTTTTTTTTAATCTGTTTGCATGTGCTCAGCATTTAAAGATCTCCCTTCTTGTATATACAACTAAAGTACTGTCAATAATCTGGGGCATTACTTAAAACATATACCAGAATTTAGCTATCTTCAGAAGTAGGAGAGGGAGAGAACCTAAGATATCCTATAATGCACCACACAATATGCAGAGGCTCAGCCTCTGAGATTACATATGTAAACAAACTCGATTGTAGTTATGTACTTTAGATGTTTTGGCTCAGGGCCTTTAATTAGAGTACTTGGAAGCTAAGCCCAATATGTACCTCCAGACAGGAAGGAGTTGGACTTCATGTGCACATGTATTCCACTTTCCTGAAAGTACATCAACAAATGCTGCACAGAAACGAAGGCTTAAAACTTTTATAGGTGAGAGGACAATATTAAAGCCACTGAATTGTATGCTCCAAACAAATAAATCCCTCTAAAAGATTTGGAGTTGAGACTGAAAAGAAAAACACCATATCCTTTGGCCTTTTAGATATTTAAGATTTTTCTTCTTGGGAAAAAGAAGCACAGTGACTCAGAGAAACGCAGATTTATCAGATGCTGACAAGGTTTCCCCACAGTGCTACATACATTGCTAAGGTCTGGGGCATGTGGACTGGAAGGGCTGACTGGAACAGAATCACCAGCTGCTGACGGCATATACATCACAGGGCCTGTCTGTGTCGGGCTGGACACAGCTGAGGATTGCTGTAAATCTTCATTGAGTGCAGGCTCTGGAAGAAATAAAAGCAGATGTAATGTTATCCAAAGCTGTACTATTGCAATGGAGCACAAGAAATTCAGGTATAAGAATACCAAGATATTCTTGAGAGAAGAAATATTCCACAAGCACCTACTTATAAGTACAGAAGCAAGGAAAAGCTTTATCTGGCAAATGGCTACTACTTATCTAATATTCCTTACAACTATTACTGTCATCACTTGTATGCTGTGCTGCTCTTTAGTCCATTAATGGTGCTCCAAAATTATCTTCCTTGCATGAGCTGTGTGTTATTCATTCATCTGTCTTGAACTAAGCAGAGATTCCTTGATTGCTAGGCGGAAAGATGATGGGTACATTATAATTTGGTGAGGGAGATAAGTTTCCATCTGTGCTCAGTGTAAACCATTATCAAAAATAAGTAACATATGTAGAAAGGCATACACAAAAAGAAAGTGTCATTGGCTTGCAAGGTAAAGATGCTGTAGACTTGTAGAGCTTACATCTAACACAACTCATCAGCATCTTTACAAAAACTATCTAACTGACACTATGCGTGTATCACAGTACCTTTAATGTACTGGTTTCAACATATCTTGCTAATAAATCAGCAAAACTCATACTAAGAGCAATTCAATTGAATTCAGCCTTCAGGGTTCACCTTGCTAAGAAAGGACAATTCTATAAGACAGCACAAGAAATAACCAGGTTGGAACAACCTAAGTACTATAAAAATGTTACTTTGGCTTTTAAAGAGTATAGCAAATAGAAAGTGCAGCAATCTTTGTAGGAATAAGGCATGTCCTAAACAAAAATACTGTTATACACAAGGGAGATTGCTAAACACTGTTTCTTTACCAAGATTTCACTCTCTTCTAAGCTTGCTGGGTCATACTGTATAGTTGCACTGCTGTGTTTTGGGCCATTATAGCCCACAGCTCTAACTTTAATCACTGCTTGTCGACAAGGCTTCCTACAAAAGGAACTCCATAACCTGTAGGGAATTTACTCTCACCATTCCTTGACAAAGGAAGCAATTACTAATTCCACCATTTACAAAGGATAATCAAATAACAAAGAGATTTGCTCAAGGCCGTGCAGTGAGTCAGTATCAGAGCCAATCTATTGACTTCTGAGTAACCTGCTCTAATTGCTGCAAATTCAACAGTGAGAGTGGAGTGCAGAAACTGTATAGGAGCCACAAGACCAGGAGGTAACATCTTCCCTCTGAATGTTAGTACCCCTGAATGCAGAACTCCCACAACCAAAACACCATCACTAGTTTACAGATGATGAAAGCAAGGATTGAAATAATGCCTTCTAAATCAGGGAGCTATTGAGAAAAGAGGATTTGAGGAAAAGCGGACAAAAAAGCTGCATATTTTTCTTTTCCAACCTGGCTTAAAGATTTAAACTCTAAGCAAAACTTCATAAATAGTAAAATAATTTTTCAAACTTTAAATACATTGCAATTAGAAAATTTATCTGCAGGTTTTTAAAAGTACAACACTTTGCAACTTTGCCAGGTACAGTACAGAAATGAAGGAGATTTCTCTGTGCCCATCCTCCTAAACTGACAGAGAACTGAGCAAGCGAGAGAAATAGCGAGATACTTCAAGAGACAGTGCAGTGAGAATGAAGGGCTGAGCCCCACAGACTACCTACTGCCTTCAGCTCTGCCAACACCTCCCACACTAGCATGGTATTATAGGAATTATTGAAGTTAATATTTCTGCTTTGAAAACCCTCCACAGAAGCTCTAGTTTAGTGGCCCTAGATTTCAAACTCTCTGTTTTGGCTAGAAGGTCTCCATAGCTCAATACCCATGAAAGACTAGAGAAGCAGTCCACGTACGTTCTACATGTGCAAAGGCACAGAAGGGTCCTCGGGGACAGCTGCCAGACTGCTGCATATCATTGCATTTGGTGGATTTGTAGATCTAAGAATTGAGGAAAAAAAAAAAAAAAAAGACATGAACAGGAAAAAACAGTGACCAGCAGCCCAGGTACAAAAACACTACAAAGAGACTCAACAGCAAGACAGGAACACAGACAAAAGGCGCAAAGGCCAGCAGAGCTCAGGGTGACCACTTCAGTGCTTTGCTTCAAGGAAAGGAAAACCCACCTTAGTTACAGAAACACCAAAATATGCCCCTCACAGCTAGAGCTCACCCAGAGATCAACCCATCACACACCAGCTCACCCAAAGGTCACCATTTGCCACCAAGTCCCTCAGTCTCACTGACAGCTCCATGGATATTACAAACGGTAGGAAGCAGTTGACAGATGACAGCACAGAAAGCTACAGCCACATGTTTTTGCAAGGAAAATAACAAACCGTTGGCAATGATTGTAGGAAATGGATTATTCCCCTTCCCCCCAGTTTGACAGGCGGTGACAATGGTTACTTTGCCGATACAGGCCCAACAAAGCTTTTCAGCGCTGTAACATGAAGCAGACTAGGACAAGGTCTTAATTACACTTTCTGAAAGGATAGTGGCATGCGCTGAGCATGCTCACAACTAAAATCTTGGTAGTTTTTTAGCACCAGTTCGCAGGGATCTACGATTCGGGGCAATCATCACCAATCAAGATTTTTCCCTCAACGACACAGGTGCCGTACACTCACCTGCAACCCCACATCATGCTTTCAAAAAGACACCTACACATAAGACTGCTCTTACATTTGAGTTTTCCCCTTCTTTTCTTACCTCCTCCCATACGATCTACCTAACAGAAAGGCACCCCCATCAAGCAGCTGAACTTTGGCTTACTTGCAGCATGCAGTTTCTCTGTATCCCAGGACCACGCCGCAAGCAGCCCACACGCTCTCCCAGCTGGCACACTGATTTTCTTTGTAAGACTCGAATGCTTTTGCTTTTCTAGTCAGCTACCAAGCAGAGTGAGCAGGTTACTGTACCTCTGGATGGAACTGCTGTTCTGTGCGAGTGTGGCAGTACTGGCATGAGTCTCCATTTTCACACTTACTGGGATCTCCCCACTCGTCTCCATGTTTCACACTGGGACATGGTGAAGATCTGTGTAAACAAGGTAGCAGGAAAACACATCAGACCCACAAATGTGTGTCGCATCCTCAATTGAGAGGCAGGTTTGGCTGCCCACCCTCAGCTGTACAATCTGTTTGGCTGGCTGCTGCTTCCTCAGCCCCCACCCAGCTGCTACTGCATCTTTTCCCCCCCACTTCCAACTTCCCAATGAAAGAAGCACAGCTTAGCTCTCCATCTGAAACCAAATACAACCCAAACCAGCGTAACAATATTAGCAGCTGATGTGATTAGTGCCAGAGATGCTGGGTCTGGTTTCTGTTTTGCAACTGTACTTTCATAGAAAGCTAATAAGTTAATTGGCTAATCCTAAAACACATAATACCCTTACAGTGGTATGTTTCCAGGCTTATAATATGGCCATGTGGAAAAAAGGCTGAGTCAGGTCACTGGGGAAAAGGCAAGTCCATTTTCTTTCTCCCAGCCAGGAACAGCTCTTTTTCCCAGGTCTGAATTTTTGCAGTGACCTACTTCCCCTGCTCTTTATGCTTTTAACCGTTCCTTCCAACAACAGCAGAGGGAAGCAGATAGCAGCAGCAGACGCCTGCACGAAAGGCAGCCGCATCAGCTGGGGGTGGGGAAAGCAACACAGAAGTGAGTGGAGATCAGGAGCGGAGCAGCTTTCGCCTCTTCCCTTCTCAAAGGGCACAGGCAGGGGCAGAAAGCACTTGACTGCTGCCTGAAGACTGGCTTAGTGTTTCTCTTTCTCTAAAGGGTGTTGGATTAATGTTGCTTTATTTTTTTTTTTTAATATGGGATTTCAGTGCTGATCCAAAAATTTCTGTGAATGTTGGGGGTGGGGAAATGAAGCAAAAACATCCACGGTATCTACTTTCTCTTCTGGCTTTCTGGTCTGCTTTTATGTTTTTCAGAAAAGAACTAAGGAAAAGCCCCACTGAGACCACAACAAAAGCTCTGTTGTGTTGGAGGAAATGAGGGCCTATAACTTGGATGAAATGTGTTCAGGGAGACACAGCACGCTGAAAAATCCAGTGACAGCTGAGTGAGGAGAACACCCTGGTGCCTCAAAAGCAGAGTCTTCAGCAGTTGGTTAGGAATGCACATCCAGCTAGAGCACTGCTCACACCATGCCTCAGGATCCCCATCGCCAGGCACACACAACAGGCAGCTGAACTTTCTACCATGAAAACACTGCTGTGGGCATTTGTTTCTAGATGGGGATTAAAACTGCCTTTTGTTTTTCCTGCACTGCTTCCTAAAGCAGGAGTTTGTATAATAAGGGGAAGCCAGACACAGGTTCTGTTTGCCATAAAACCAGAGCTGTAACATGATTTAGCAACAGTAATTTATTAGAGATACTGGTTCCCATATCGTAGAATGTTTTAGGTTGGAGAAGACCTTTAGATCATCGAGTCCAACCATTAACCTAACTCCACCAACTTCACAGTTAAAATATGTCCCTAAGTAAACAGGGAAAACAGGAAAATTTGCTTAGTTTGTTACTCTTTTCCTAGGCAGAAGTAACAGTCCATCACATGTGTCAGTACAGGCCTTGGAGAGACACAAAAAAAAACTATGTACTGGACAAAATCCTAGCTCCTTCATTACAGACTTCTACACCACCTCATCACTCATCTGGGAAACAGAACATCCAGGACCACAGTACCTATATTTGTGTTTTCTTGGGCTTCTTCTTCTGTCTTTGCTATTGTGGTAGTAGGGACAGGCATAACCCTGGCGACAGAGACGGGGAGGTTTCTTACACTGCTCTGTCTTGTAATTTCCCAACACGTACGTTGTATCTGCAAAAGAAGCAACCAGTTAGTAGAAGATGACCATGATCTGTATTTACTATACAAAAGTTTTTGACAGAAACAGGCACTCCACAAACACCAGAACTACCCAGCCCCACAGACCCTAAGTTGCACTCACCTTGCCACCTTGGCTCCTCACTGAGTATTTTCTCTATCATAGCATGGCTAGCAGCGACTGCAGACTGACCCTCTATGCCACCTTCTGATGTAGGCTGACCATTCTGCAAAGCCTCCATTGCCTGAAGCTCCCTTTGTGAACAGAGTTAAATGAACATACAGACTGAGCATGTGAAGACAGATAAAAGTGTATAAAAATTCTCATACTGGAGCATGGCAACAATTCCTAAGTAGGTGCATTTAATTCATGCATTTATTTTTTTGAGAAAATCTTTAGTCAAAAGGCAACTGCAACACATGTTCTTCATTCCCTGGGAATTACAGATATGTTATTTTGACCCCTGCATCAGACTCCAAGCTACAGCACAACTAGTTTAAAGTGTGCTCCCTTCCCCCATTTTGAGTATCTTCCCTGGAGATTTTTATTTGCCTTATTAGGAAGGAATATATCATCATCAATCCAACATTAAGTATTTCATGCCGAAGCAAGTACAGTCCTTCACTCATTTGACTTTTCATTTGGGTACAGAAATTACCTTTCTCATACAGAGCCCCAAACTCCACTAACCTGATGTCATAGACCGGCGAGCGCAGGTCGTGGGGCCCGTGAGCGAACGCGCAGTGGACTCCGTTCTTCGTGCAGTTTCCCTTGGAGTCTGTCTCATGAATGCAGATTCCAGTTTTGTAGTAGCGCAAGTGATACCTCCTCTCTGTGTCTCCAGTAGTTCTATGCAAGAAGGGACATCTGAGGTACAGGAGGAGGGGAAGAACAGAGTTCAGTCACACAGGTGATGGACTCAACACGATCAGAAGATGTATTGCCAATGTGTGATGCTGCAGCTGACAAAACCTTTGCCAACTTTCCCCTTCTCTTATGCTGCACCTTCCAATGCTACACAGAACCCCTAAGCCTATCACTACACAGCATGTAACAGTTTCCCTCCAAAAAGACAACTGGATTATTAAGCCAGCAGTAGGTTATTATTCTAACCCAGTGATGGCCAGGGATCTGGAAAAGAACAAGGCCACAGTCAAGGTGTTCTGGTATCCTAGCCATGATTGAAGGGACACCACATGGCACATACCATTTCCTCAGCAGCCCATCTACACTTCGTGCTGTCGCTGTTTCCTGCTGCTGTGCTCCTACAGGGCTAGCGCAGCCTAGCTAGGGCCAGATGCATCCTTTATGCAGGGCACGGGGCAAGAAAAGGGAATTACAGCACTGCCATTTTAACCTAGGCTTTGTTTCCCCTCTTAGGCAGAAAAAGAACAACATGGAATAGGTGAAGCTGAGATATTGCAGCAGCAGGCTAAACATACAAATCAGCAAAGAGTCCTGAGATGGCAACAGTTTTCATCCACTGTGTTTGAGCCAGGTATGAACCAGGGATCTGGAAGCTAAAGCCCCCAAACACCCTGTTATTTCCAGTCCCTTCCTGTTCTCTTCTAACAAGGAAGAAAGTATTGAAACTGAGGCTTCAGGCTGGGAGATTATTCCATTCTGCTGTGGTCACAAGATCTTTACTTAATTGGGTAAAAAAAAAAAAATATTGTTTTCCTGATAAAACAGCATTTTTCTGTGTGTTTATACTGGCACCATGAAAGGGAACTGAAATTCCATCTTTCTATAGCATCTCTACATAAAACACTCCCTATATTTGACCACAGTTTGGCTACACTATTTGTTCTTCCACATCTGTCACATGCCTAAAATTATATTACTGGGTTAACTCTTCAGTTGCTGGAGTATGCCACAGGCACAGCAGAAACACTTGCATCTCTGCTCCAGTTAAATGTGCTGCATTCACAAAGAGAGAAGATCCAATAAAACTCTTCCTCATGTTGCCCTAATCTGGGTACGTTTTCTTAAAAAGTTCAGGAAGACAAAATGAACTGACAAGTAACTGATACGGTTCCAAAAGCTGTGGATAGATAATTCAGGGGGAAGACTGGAGGACAAAGCTCCTCTTTCTTCAGCCTGTGAAAAACTAAGCTACTCTGCTAGTGAGCAAGAGCTATTATCTGACAGTCAGGGACTTACAGGAACAGTTTTTCTGAGCCCATTTGTCAGCGAGCTGTTTTTCCCACCTCAGCTTTACTGAAGATGCCAAGGCTCATGAAGAGAGTGAATGATGCAAGAGCTGAATTCCCATCTAAGTCACTCTTGGTATCATCTCTGCAGCAGGCCCGGAGCACAGAGGTTGCTATTACAGTTTTTACATCTGTTCTCATGTTACGTACGTTACAAAGCTGCTTTTACTGCTCCCTTGCCTCATCTCTACAAGAACTGGCTGGAATCATCACCTGGACTGATCCCAGAAGCCTAATGCCTGAAAAGCAGGGTGCAGTCTTTACTTACTCATCTCCTTCTGGGCAGATTCCTGTGGTCTCGTCATACTTGGTACAGTAAATGTCGGGGCTGTAGTTGAAGGTGCCATCCCGGCGGCGGATAGATCTGCGACGGCGCTGGTTGACAAAGTGCCAGTGGAAGCAGGTGTAGGGCCGGTGCTGAGTGCACTTGTGCTGCACAAAAAGAGGGCACTGCTCCGTGCGGAACTCCTTCAGGTAACTGCAGGCAGAAACCCCACAGCAAGAGATTAGGACCAGCACGCTGGGCAGAGGCAACAGCCAATCACCCCGCGGGGTCCAGGCAAACCGAGCCGCTGCCCTGCCCTGCCCACGCCCGCCCCTGCTCTCCCCAGGCTGGAAGCTCTGGTTGTCCCTAATGGCAGATATCAGTTACTAGGCCACTCAACACAAACGTCAGTGCTCATGATAGTTAAAAATCACTTTCTATTGTGGTCATTTTGAAGAGGCTTTTCAGGAGCTTAGAAAATAGTTTATAAGCAAACAGAACTCTTAAGTACCTTCCAATCCGTTTCTATCTCCAAATTTGAGACCTATCTGGGCAACAAGGGGTTTCCTTCCTATATGTCAGGGAGTTTTTTAAACAAGCAAACACCCAACAAAACAAAATATACTTCCTCATAGCCATGTTTAAAGCTTTAAGTTACTGAGAAAGATTTTTTTTAAAAGACTCTCTCATGCCTTGTCCTGTTGGTTTAAACTTGGCTTCTTCAACACATTTGACTATGAAATTCAAATGAATCAACTTTTCTATTGCAATCTTGTGAATTCAGGACTCAGTCTGATATCCTCAAACTCCTGCATGTTTACGTTGCTTTACTGTTAATATGTAATTCTCTGAAAGTACGAGTCTTTTATCCTGAGAACTAAAGAAGTCACAAGCGTTTATTTGTGACACTAATAACAGTCTCTAAACCCAGATTGTAGAGGATTACAAAATGGTTTAGATCAACATAATGATCTGACTGTGATCTGTGTGTAGGTGCTTACAAAATCCATGCTGCCTGAAATGCACTGGATGCCCTGTCTTTACAGGGAACGTAGAAACAGTTCAAGTCGCTCAGACCTGAATCCCACCAGGTTCAGCCTCAGAGACGCCTCCAAAAACAACACAGAATGCCCAGAGCATGCTGGTCTCTTATGTGTAGAGGTCAGTTTAAAACAAAACTTGTCAGTCAAAGTGCTCGTATTCTGCTGGAAGCAATAGGATGATGTAACAGCAGATATAGACTGATTTTAAACTGCCTATGTACTCTGAGGCAACAAAATGGAATATAGGAGTTTGTCAAGTATCCATTCCCATACCAGACTATCTTTTTACCGTGTTTCTAAATAAATGGAAAGATGTCTGATGCTCAGAGATGCATTTGCAGATAATATCATGCTAGATTCATTCTGAAAACAACATCTGTAAATAAAGCCTCTTTACCCCTGGCTGAAGAGAAAGCCTCAGGAAGATACACAAGTTAAACCAAAGTTGTTTTAGTTGTTTGCGATGAAGAGAGAATATCACTGGCAAGAGCTTTCCTACACTGGATTTTGCAGCACGAAAGGATAAAAGCTCTTCCTCCTCTTCAGTCTCCAAATACATGAGACTTCAGGTTCCACTGCTTCGGATCTGCAGCTGCTCGGGGCTGGGGAGCCTCCACAGCCGGCCGTAAGCCCTTCTCAACACAAGCCCATCTGTCCCCTGCAATCCAGCGTGGCTGAGCAGTAGCTGCATTTGTGCCCAAGGCTTAACATCAGAAAAAAATAGAGCAAGCATGCAGAAACAGGTCTGTTTGGAGTAGATGAGGGCTAACAACATCACTTTGTTCCTTCTCACTTTTAAAAAGCTGGCTCCATTCAAAAGGAGATCTCTACTCCAACCACAGCGGCAATTCATCTGAAAACTGAATGCTGTGATAAAATTAATCCATTCTTGAAAAGAATGGATTCTTCTAAGTTGTTGGACCAAGTACAGTTGTAAGGTGGAATTCCACAGATTATTTTATCTTATCAGTGTACTAGTAAGACATAGAACAAAAGTAACTGTAACAACAGTTAGGTTAGAAAGCGAATTAAGTCAGCTCAAGCGGCGTGATGCTTAGACCGCCATCCACAGATACTGCAGTCACCTACCAGTCCCTTCCACCCACATACCTGGTGTGCACAACCTTGGTACCAAGCCCAGCGCTCCAGACTTGTAGTGATAGGCACGTACGAAACACTGTTAAAAATGTTAAAATTTAACAACTGCACAATCAACGGAGCTGGAACAGCCTCCTTTTAACAGGAGGGTTTAAAAATGTACTCACTGACTAGGGATTTCGGTCTCTGGAGTGTCAATTGTTGCTGAAGAGCATTTGAAAATTAATTGCATTTCATGATTGGCTAAACTCCCCAGAGAAACATTTATTATAATGTAAATGAGAGATAATTACATAAGTAAATGGTTCACCTGAGAAGTGTTTAACACCTAACTTGCTTCATCAGAAACTCATTGTTTAATGCTGTCTATTAAGTAAATGATCTCTCACTCTTAATTTTAAAGCAAGTCCTGCAAACAGGTACCACTGAGCATCCCCTGAATGACACATTAACTGCACAGGATCACTCTCCAACAGAGGCAAAGGAGAGCTGTCACATTAACTCAGTCATCTCAAGCCTTTCAATCAGCACTTTGGATTTTTTTTTTTTTTTTTTTTTTTTTTTTTTTTTTTTTGCAAGCCACTACATTTTAAATCATCCTCCTCCACAATAGCCTGAATGGTAAATTGTCTCATAACCCTCTATTTTCTTGATCCGTGAAGTGAGTTTTGGCTCCTCTGGGAGAACATGGACCACTCACCCAGCCACTTTGCATTAAAATATACGAAAGGCATCTAAACCACATGTGTTTTGGGAACACAGAAAGGATACACAGACCATGCTATCGAAATGTGATGTCTCACAAAGCACAAAGCTATTAATATTTCAGCAGCCTCTTTGCAAAGGCTCTAAACAAAAACACAGAAAACACTGTCATGGCAGATCCTTCTGGTGTCAATGGTCTCTGTAACTTTTTTTTTTCCCCCCCAGAATGGCTGAGAAAAGGAGTTTTTGAGCGACCCTTGAAACTGAAAACATGTTGATAACTGGTACACATTTCACAGTGTGTCAGCCAAACGCTGTGTCTGTACAGGAAGAGGAAATCCAGCAATGATAACTTGCATTTCAAGATCTCAGGAAATTCTACATGAGGGGCAGGAGAATTATTACCCTCATTTTATAGAGAAGTTACTTCTATATTTATTTTAAAGAAAAAAAAAAAAAACAAACAAACAACCAAACCAAAGGTGCAACTAATCAGTTTGGTGTTGGTCTGCTTCACATGCACTTTCTTCTGTATGTGTGTGTATGTATTTTCAAACTTATAGATTTTTTTTTTAAAGTGTAAAGCATGTAGTGCTGTCTTCTTCTGATACTACACTAACATCAACACCCGAATTCCTGGAGGAAATGTTATCATTTATGAGCCCTACTAAACAAAGACAAATGCAATTCTAAACAATTAGGACAAGACTGGCTGGAACAATGCAGATCAAAGTCCCCAGGCTGAATTGAACTTGCTGCTGAACAGGACGGACGCTACTGGCAATAAAAGCTTCTTTCACTAGGAAGACAAGAGGAGAGGTTCTTAGAGTAGCTTTGGGAACTCTCAAAGACTGATAGGAACAGCAAAGTATTAGAAAAATTGCTTCTTTGCTGGAATTCCACTTCCTCCAGGGTTGGGATGGGAGAAGAGGCAGTAATTACTCTCTGCAAGAACTAGTGAGCTAACTGCTAACTGTCTTTAATTACCAGCAACATCTCGAGTCTCTAGGGCAGGACAGCAAGTGTTTACCTAGTTCTTCTCCCCTACCCCAGAGGAACTGAGCAGCAACCTGCTCTGGGACCTGCAGGAAAAAAGACAAGTGGGCTGGAGGAAAAATAAAAAATTAAATAAAAAAAAAAAAAGTACTTTCAAACACCACCACCACCACCAAAACCAAATTAAATCAAAACTAGAAAGAAGGAGGAAAAAAACCAAAGAGAAACCAGGAAGAAACTCTAACCCAGAAGCTTCAGTTTTGAACTCAACAATTGCAGCCTTGTCCTGGTCACGGTCCTAGCCTGCTGCTGCTGAGACCTCTTGCTTTGCTGCAGCTTTACTGGTTTGGCTCTGCTTACACCCAGAACGCTCCAGCAGCTCAGTGCGAGAGGATACCTGCATCCGCACCACGTTCCAGGGCTGCAAACTTCCTGCCAAACTTGACATAAGTCCCTGCGTGCAGTGGCGTGAGCTCAGTTCAGGAGAATGTGCTGGTAATGCAGGAAGACAGCTGAGCTCTAAATTCCTCATTAAAAGCTTTACCGAAAGCTCCCTGAAATCACGGGAAGACGCGCACTGACACCACGAGAGAAGCCTCTGCTTTGTAACAGGGATCAAGAAATCTGGGGAGAGAAACGACACCAAGGAGCACGGAAACAAAAGGATTAAAACCAACTCGTCTACACCCTTGTTGCTCCCATAAGGCAAAGCTGGGCCCTCCTTTGCTTTGCCACCCCCTTCATGACTTGAAATCTTTACTTAGGCCTCAGGACAAGCTCCTCTCGTTTGTAGCCCTCCTTGCTCCTCCCAGTCAATCCTCTTTCTGCCAAAACTCCTCTTGGGCCCAAAGAAAGCTCATAAATGCTATCTGAATCTTCTGCAGCAGTATGACACCAGAGAGAAAAGCATTAGGTAATTGTCTGTCTAATCCAGAGCAGGACACTGCCTGTAAACGTAGGACAATTTGAGACCCAACACCAGGGTGGCTGTGCGACGACACTCGCCACGCGGCTGCAGCACCCTGGGTAAAGGTCCCCTCCAAGTGACTGGTGCCAGTGCTCCTTGTCTCTCTGCTGTGAGACCAGTGTAAGTTACAGACATCTTTTACACTAGCAGCCAGGTTCATGCTCTAGTCACTGGCCATGGGGCTCCAGCCCTGCAGCAGATCCCTGGTCAGCAGAAACTGACCCAGGGGAGGTAGCCCAGGACATGTTCAGAACTGGTCATTCCTGTCAAGTCCAGCCAGGTATGGACACTTTATCATTAGCACTAGTATTAGGAATTACTAATTCAGGGCTGTATAAAGATTCTTAGTACTAGCCACTGGCCAAGAGCCCACAGACCCAAACCTAACTAAGAAATACACAATG